AGTGTTGTGAGCAAGACCTGAGAAGTCATTCTTCCGCTCTACTCTGTGCTGGTTAGGCCTCAGTTGGAGTATTGTGTCCAGTTCTGGACACATTTCAAGAAAAATGTAGAAAAATTGGAGAAGGTCCAGAGAAGAGCAACAAGAATGATTAAAGGTCTAGAGAACATGACCAATGAAGAAAGACTGAAAGAATTGGGCTGGTTTAGTTTGGAAAGAAGACGACTAAGAGGGGACGTGATAGCGGTTTTCAGGTATCTAAAAGGGTGTCGGGTGTCACAAGGAGGAAGGAAAAAATTGTTCTCGTTAGCCTCTGAGGACAGGGCAAGCAGCAATGGGATTAAATTTCAGCAAGTGTAGTTTAGGTTGAACATTAGGAAAAGCTGTCAGGGTGGTGAAACACTGGCATAAGTTGCCTAGAGAGGTTGTAGAATCTTCATCTCCGGAGATATTTAAGAGCAGGTTAGATAGACATCTGTCAGGGACAGTCTAGATAGTACTGAGGTCCTGCCATGAGGGCAGGGGACTGGACTTGATGGCCTCTCAAAGTCCCTTTCAGTTCTAGTGTTATATGATCTACAATGCAACATTTCAAAATAACACTCGTTATTTTGAAATAACTTAAGTCCACGTCTACACAGCAGGTAGTTATTTTAAAAGAATGTAAAAATACTGTCAAGCTGGAGGACTCCTTACTCCAACTCCTTTAACCAATAGCCTACATCTACATGGCACTCTCTTGCGCAAGAACATATGCAAATGAGGCACGGCAATGAATACTGATCTGCCTCATTTGCATAGTTAATGAGCCACCATTTTGCACAAGGAGCAGTCTATACTGTTCCTTCTTGCGCAAAAACCCCCTGGCTAGCTGGCATGTGCCTTTCCGCAGAAGCATCCATGCCAGTGTAGACACTCTCTTGCGCAGGAAATTAACGTTGCCCGTCTACACTGGCCTCTTGCGCAAGAACAGTTGTGCAAGAGGGCTTATCCCTGAGCGGGAGCGGCAGAGTATTTGCACAACAAGCACGGATTTTCTACATTAGAACATCAGTTTCTTGCGCAAGTACTCGTGGCCAGTGTAGACAGGTGGCAACATTTTGCACAAAAGCGGCTGCTTTTGCGCAAAATCTTGCCAACGTAGAAATAGCCCCTCTTGTGCAAGAGCTTTTCTGCCTAAAAACAAAAAATGGCTCTTGCGCAAGAGGTTTTTGCACAAGGAGCAGCGTAGACTGCTCCTTGTGCAAAATGGCAGCTCATTAAGTATACAAATGAGGCATGGCTATATTCATCACCGTGCCTCATTTGCATATTTCTTGCACAAGAGCGTGCCATGTAGATGTAGCCTCATTGTATGAGGAGTAAGGAAGTCAGAGGAAGAGTGCTCTATTTCAAAGTAAGTGCTGTGGAGACACTCCCTATTTAGAAATAAGTTACACCAGGACTACTTAATTTCGGAATTTCGGGGGCCACAATGACACTCACAGCACATGCCACGGGCCGCAATTTAAGTGTGGTTGCATGTACATGCAAATATATATGCAAATAACTTTTCACACTGACAGACATGAATACAAAGATTAAGGCAAGACTACATTTAAGTAGCTACATTTAAGTCCGTTCTGTTGATATAATACAATGCAATATTTATCCGATTTCCACCCATATGACAGCACTTTTAATGAGCAATGACTGTCCAGGAATTTAACTACTAAAATGCGTATCAACAGAAGATCATTATATTGACTACTTTTTTGTTTTGGCTCCCACCCGTGGGCCACGTGTTGAGCCCTGCATAAATCCAAACCTCACTGTGGACTGCAAACGGGCCGCATGTAGCCCGCGGATTGAGTAGCCCTGAGCTATACAATTGACATAACTCAAAATAAGCTATGCAAATTGAACTAAGCCTTGCTGTGTAGATGCACCCTTACAAACACAACTAGAGTTTCTTTTTGAAATCAGTGTTGCTAGGATAATCTGAAAGAGAGACACAAGTAAATAAAATATTTTCCTCCCAACAGGTTATACATATATTGCAGCTTCAACGTAATGAAGATCAGAATGTGACAATGTTTTTCAAGAAGCAAAGGTTCTATTGTCTGGAGATTTATCATTGAACAGAGAAACCATTTGCAAGAAGTAGAAACTACAAAACACGTAGACACATGAGAATGAACTAGTGGTTGTACTTTATTTAGTCAGTGAAAATCTACCTTAAAAACAGAAAATAGAAAATCAATATTTTTAACCCAGTACATTGGATTAGAGGAAGCTGCAAGCTTGGAGTTTAAGCACAAGCTACAGTTTGCAGCCTGAGTATTTCAGGGGCCAAAGCAATACACTGGAACAAAGTCGTATCTGTATGTAGAGAGGTTTTTTGCACCATTTGGAAGGTCTTAATGGTGCTATATTGTATAGATGTCTGTTACAAGAAGAAACATTGATTATACAGTTAGCATGTTTGTTACATTGCTTAGGTAGGCCCAGGATTAATATAAAAAACAAGCAAGATTTAAGCACTTGCTTCTTAATTTCTACCAACAGACAATTTACAATTTGATAAAAGCTAGCTTTCTTTAAATGTGGTTTAGACAAGAAATAACTTTACATATTATTAACAGCTTTGGAACTACAAATATTAGACTCAGGATTACACAGGTCATGCTATTGTTTTGTTTTACCTGTTGCAATTATTGCAATATGGCTTAACATACATAAGTATATAATTTTGTACAAACGTAATGGATTTCACATTTGCATGGTGTTATAAAAAGCAAAATTAACACAAGCAACATAACCTCGGGGAAACAACAGCCTTCGTCAGAATTATATTTGTAGATTCATGGCCAAAAAATAAGGGGGAAACCCGTCACTAAGGAAAGGCAGACTAGATTGTTTGATATCACATTTCTCATTTAAACTGTTCTGTATTTTTTCTGTGAGTTAAGAAAAAAATGTTTATATCCTGCACTCATGAAAGTACTATAGCTAGTTGCACTGGTGACAATGCAGGTTAGTGTCATTTATAAACGGGCCAAAAATAAGGCCCTTCTTCAATGTTCTTTGTAGCATATTAACTTTTTAAATAGCTATAAAGGACACTTTTTTTCCTGCACATCCTCTCAGTCCCCATCTGTTAATTATATCAACCTCTCCTTTCAATGTTATTCACATAGAATGTGTGTGCACGCATGTGCATTGTGGCAGATAAATCAAAGTCCTCATAGGAGAGTGAAGATCCTAATTCATTTAAGTTCACTGTCGAAGTGGTTTGAAAAAATATTTATATGGAGCAGTGAGTCTCATATGCATGATTAACTTTCTGTGAGTGAAGTGAAAGAAAGAATTAAAAGGCTCTGGAGTTATTATTTAGGATTAAAAGATATCTCAGGTTAAATTTTTTACTGCAGCATCATATGCCTGTAATAATAGACTCCCAGTTCTATAGTTAAAACCTTCAGGGAAAAAAAAACGACTCAGAGAAATGTTAGTGGATAAATTAAAAGCATTTTTTACAGATTCCTTGGCTATGCACTTTGTGCTGCTACAGATAGAGTAGCAAGGGAGTTGGGGTGGGGGGGAGGAGGATGGTAAAATGAAAAAAAGGGAAGAGTTATAAAACTGTATAAAACAAAAATACATTCAACTCTCTATTTCCTTATGTACCTTAAAATGCTCAGATGATAGCTTTAACATTTCACGTAACTGGACATTTCTGCAGAAAGGACTTTATTCGTCTGTTTTATTAACTCTCGGGGTATGTCTAGACTGCACCCTTCTGCTGGCAAAGGGATGCAGATTAGGCAGGTCGAAATTGCTAATGAAGTGGGGATTTAAATATCCCGTGCTTCATTAGCATAAAAATGGCCGCTTTTTTCGGCACGGAGCTTTGTCGGAGAAAAGTGGTAGTCTAGAGGCTGATCTTTCGCTGAAGAAAGCCTTTTCCAATAGATCCCTTATGCCTCATAAAATGAGGTATTCCGGATCTATTGGAAAAGGCTTTCTTTAGCGAAAGATCAGCCTCTAGACTGCACTTTTCTCCGACAAAGCTCCATGCCGAAAAAAAAAGCGGTGGCCATTTTTATGCTAATGAAGCACGGGATATTTAAATCCCCACTTCATTAGCAATTTCGACCTGCCTAATCTGCATCCCTTTGCCAGCAGAAGGGTGCAGTCTAGACATACCCTTGATGACTCATATTGTATGATATTTTGAGCATATTCCCACTGTATTTGGCATAAACAAGCAACACAATATTTGAAATTCTTGTTTAGCAATTACAGCACAAGCATCCTGTCACTTTTCAGCTAAAAACTAAGGTCATGTCTACACTAACACTTATGTCAGCAAAAGTTGTTGTTGGAGGGTGTGAAAAAATGCTACACTGAGTGACAAGTTTTGCTAGCTTTAAGTGCTTGTGTGCATAGTGCTATCCATGTCCTATCAACAAAGCTGCAGCTACTCATTGAGATGCTTTTATTATGCCAATGGGAGAAGTCTTTCCCATAGGCATAAAGTGGCTGCATAAGCAATCTTATAGCAGCACAGCTCTGTAGACATGACCATATTTTATCAGCAGATGCTGTGCAAGATAGTATACATTTTAGGAGAAACCCATATCTGCTTGTCAGAGGTGAATTAGTTGGCTAACATACTTTTTATGAGTAATAAGCTAAAAGTTGCAGAAATCCTCCACCAGATGGTGCAATCACAGTGTAATCAGTCACTTCTCTTTGCATACTGTCCAGCCTCAGAGTGAGAGGCACCTGTATAACAAGAACATTTGGGTACACTAGAAGGAAACAGTTCATTTTAAAATAAATTATAACATACTGATAGGATAATGAAGCTATTGGTCAACATCTTACTCAACCTGAATGGTGTCACGTTCACAGAGTGCAACATATAACTTTTAGAAACCAGATCAAAAAGTACAGCATGCTTTTTCTGAGCTTATATGGTCAAGTACAGAATACTTTTAAACATCTAATTATTGTTCAGTTATTTAATGTCAAGCCTGCGATTTTACACCTAAAAAAAAAAAAAAATGGAGAAATATTTTGTTCCAGGTTTGCCAACTCTTAATTAAAACCAACAGAGCTAAGTATAGGCAAATATTTTATTTAAATCATTTTCAGAAATCACAATCTGCCAAATGTACATGAGCATAATGAAACACACTGTTCTAAAAAGAAGTGGGCACAAATATGGGGTGGACATAATCCAGTATCTATCAAAACATTTTTTTTCAAGAATGTCTCATTTCATGGCATGTGTGTGGCTCAAGGAGACAGGGAACAGTAAAATGCAAAAACAACAACAACAATCCTTTTCTTCCTAATGCTAAAATAGCCTTTTTTCAATTCGATTTAAGCACAATAATTTATTGAAATTGCCATTGCAAGGCTGCAATAGAATCTGAAATGCATATATTTGTAACTCTTTAGGACTTCTAGCTTCCACCGAGGTGGTTTCAGAAAAAATCAAACTGGAATAAAGTGAACTTTAAATGCTTTCAATACAATTTATAGTGTACTCCCTACAGAGGTAAATGCAAAATTAACTTCTGCCTAATAATTTACATTAGTAGGTTTCCAAATAAGAATTGTACTTTTTGACCATGAATGTTCTTTTATGGAAGCAGGAACAACTAGCACAATGTCTTAAATTTATCAGTTCTTATCTCCATCCACTAAGTGGAACACCTGCCTAAATTTAATGAAGATAATTTGTGGCCAGCTGTAGCTCTCTCAGTGCTTCACCATGGTCACATGCACTTAGTCTCATATATTGTGATGCAAATGTATATCATTTTGCATTTTCAAAAATCATAAGATGAAAAAAATATACATTAAAATCAGAACTGGGTTTATGATATATATATATATATAAATACACAAAGAATTACACTCCAGTTTTGGAAGCATTTTAGTAGGGGGAAATCTGGAACAATAGAGACTGGGCATTGCCAATAGGCATTTAAATCAGACATCACTTTTTCATAATTTTATCAAACAAAAATAAAGAAGTCTTGAAAAGAGGAAATGTTAACATCCAAGAGTAGAGGGTGATGACTAAAGCTCCTGATGTTGTCTCAGGATTGTCAGCTGCTCTCAAGGAATAACACAGATATTGATGGTCTGTCTAGTCTCACAATTCAGAAACTTACATTGGTCTACAGACCAATCAGCAGATTCCACATTCTGCTCTTGCCTTCTTCATATTCTGGTATCTCCAAACGTAACACACACATTTAATGGAACTGCTGAAAAAAAAAAAAGCAAAGATATTAACAAAGTCTTATTAATCATAAATTACTCAATTTCTATTCTCTCTCAGAACTTCCTTAAGTGGGGAAGCTGTTTTTCAGGAGTGGTATTGGAGAGAGACCTCATCAACTCCAGTTTAAAAAGAAAAAGCTAACAACCTAAAATCCTGGGTGTGTAACACAGCATGGAAGTTTCCCTTTGCTCTTTCTGTGAATCTCCCAAAGTTGAAAATGGAATGGTGCTCCAACTCCTGCAGGCCTTTAGGACAGGGGTGGACAATAATTTTTTTGCCTAGGGGCTACTTCAAAAATTTGTAAGCAGCCCCGAGGCCAGGATGCTTCTGGCTTCCCCAACCACAGACCATGATTGGTCTGGGGGTGAGGGAGCCCCTTTGCCCCCACCTTCCCACTAAGCACCGTGCCCCCTGGCGATGGGAAGAGACTTCCTGTGCTCCCCACCCCAGGGCCTGGGAGCACACGAAGCTTCCTCCCGCCCTGCCAGGAGCACGCTGCACTTTTAAGTGTTGCATGCTCCTTGCAGGGCAGGGAAACTGTGCATGCTCCCTCCGCCCTCTCCCAGTCCCTAATTGCCACGCACTCCTTGCACGGCGGGGATAGGATGGAGGAAACTTTGCGTGCTCCTCCTGCCCTCAGGCCAATTAGGGTTTGGGAGCACGAGAAGTCTCCTCCCATCCTGTGAGGAGCACACAATACTTCAAAGCGCCGTGTGCTCCTGGCAGGGTGGAGGAAACTCTGTGCGCCTCCCCCCACTCCCAGGGCTTAATTGGCCTGGGGGTGGGGGGAGTGGCAAGGCCTCTGCTCACCCTTTCGCCCCTTTTGCTCACCCTTGCCATAGGAGGTACACAGGAGTTGGGCTCTCTTCAGCATTTAAAAATAGACAAGGTTGGTGAAGTAACTGTCCTTTGTTAGACTAACTTCTGTTGGTGAAAGGCCAGCTTTTGAGCTTGCACAGAGCATGTCTTCAGATCCATGGAAGGAACTAGCAATCAAGGTGGTACAGATTAGGGATGACAGATGTCGCTTAATTTACTAATTGTTAACTGCATCAAATCTTATCAGTTATGATTATTCAACAGTTCCCAGGGTAGGACCAGTATCCAGAGTGTTCCTAGCTTCACTCCCAGGGAGCCTCTCCCAATCTACACTGCTGCCTCCCCATGCTCCCTGCACAGACTAGCTCCCACTTCCCCTTCCTTTGCTGCCTCTATCAAGAGTGGGGATTGCATGTAGTTATTTGGATCAACCAATAAGCTTAGACTTATTGGTTAATCATTTAAACGAACATATGCTAACATTCCTAGTAGAGATTATTTAGCATAAGGTGTTTGCATGCAAGAATGGCATACAGGATCTGACCAAAGGTCCATGTAGTCCAGTGTTCTGTCTTCTGACAGTGGCCAATGCCAGATGCCCCAGGGGCAATGAACGGAACAGAGAATCATCTTCCATCCCAGCTTCTGGTAAACAGAGGCTAGGGGACCATCCCCGCCCATCTTGGAGGGGCCGCTCTATGAACTTATCTGGTTCTTTTTGTAACTGTTATAACCTTGGGTCTTCACAACTGTACAATCTTCTTTACAGTCCTCCTTGAGCTCCAAGCTCTGGTCAGCCCACGCACAACATAATGGGTCATACCAAAGATCCATCTAGTCCAGTATCCTGTCTTCTGACAATGGCCACACACAACCTTTTTCTTTCTGAGGCCCTCCCAACATGCTACAAAAACCCACCTGTACCACAATAACTGCATATAAAAGCAATCAGGGCAGCTGCCTGGGACCCCATGCAACAGGGGCCCCTGCAAAGCTACACTACTCAGCCTTCGACTTCGGCCCCGGATTGTGGGGTCCTGGGTTCCAGCTTGATGTAGAGGGGCTTCCGCTTTCTGCCCTGAATCCAGGTAAGTATAATTCTGTCCCTATTTGGTGGATCCTCTTAAAACCTGCCTGCGACCCCCTACAGGGCCCCAGACACTTGGTTAAGAAATACTGTTCTACAACATCCTCAATACATGCACATTTCCCCCTGCAGAACTCCTTAAGATTAACAGAAACTGAGCACCTAAGGAAATCCAGGCAGAGGGGTAATGGGTAGCAGGAAATATGAGGGAGTAGCGGGACACAGAGGCACACCCTAAATCAGGGGTGGGCAATAATTTTTAATGGGAGGCCAATCCAAGAATTTGGAAGTGGTCGCGGGCCGCACTCTTCCATGATATTAATAGAGGAGGTACAGGATCTGGGATGGAGGTTGGGTGCAGAAGGCAGCTTGGGATAAGGGGGAGAGTTTGGGTGAAGGAGGCAGTTGTGACCTGGGGCACTGGACTAAGGTGCAGGGGGGGTTGGATTGTCACTTAGGACAGGAGGGGACTGCAATCTGGGGCAGAGAATTGGGGTGCCAGATCTGGGAGGGGAGATGGGTACAGGAGGGGGGCAGAGGATTTGGGTGTGTGGAGTGGGGGACAGAGGATTGGGGAAGGGAGGGACTGAGGCACCAGAGACAGGCTCTGGCCAGGAGGCTTACTAGCCAGCAGCTATTCCTGAATCAGCCTCCCTGCCTGCCCGTGTTCCCTCTAAATTGTGCAGCAGCACAGCTTTATAGGTGATTAATCAGCCCAGCACAGTCAGTCAGATTCATGCAAGAGCCTCTGACTGGGCGGGGCTGATTAATCACCCATGAAAGTGTGCGGCTGGGCAGTTTAGAGGGAACACTGCTGCCTGCCCTGCCCCTGCCCAGGCAGCAGCCATGTGCTCTGGAGCCCCTTGTGCTTCATGGCTGCCTGTTATTGAAACAGGATTGTGCTGGGGGCGGAGCAGCTTTAACTTGATGTTGAAAACAATGAAAATGTAGGGATCACTCTTGACATTTCTTCTACCCCCCTCTTTTGCCAGATTCTGTATTTAAAATACCTATTTAGGGCAGGCATGGGCAAGCTATGGCCCGCAGGCCAGATACAGCCCACCCAGCCACTGGATCTGGCCCGCAGATGCTGTGTGGAGCCCCAGGCAGGCTCCCTGGTTGCCTCACCCCACTTGTACACTGGCTGCGGGGTGGTTTTTCTTTAAAAACTGAGTCTGGAGGGAAGGAGCGGGGGAAGCTTTATGAGCTGCTCCTGAACCCAGCACAATCCTATTGGCTGGTGGGAAGCTGCCTGTTTCAACAGAGGTAACTGTTCCTTCTAAGCTGTGCAGCAGCAAAGCTTCACAGGTAATTAATCAGCATCCCTTCCCCCTCTCCCCCGCGAGGATGATTAATCACCTTTGAAGCTGTGCTGCCATGCAGCTTAGAGGGAACACTGGCTGCAGGTCTCATATTACCTAAGATAGTTGCTGGAATAGTCCACTATTCACCAATGAGCAAAGACTGAAAACAAGAGGAGCAAACTCTCATTGTACAACCCGGGTGGTGGGGAGAAGGAGGCTGGTGACCACAGCTCACTCAAAGCAGAAAGGAGAATAGCAGCTCTCTCTCTCTCTCCCCATTTAGAAGGGAAACAATGCTGTGCTGTACCTGAAGAGTTGATTTTCTATGGTGCTAAGTATCCCCATCTCCAACTGCCACTGAAGAGAAATGGCAGGTAAAGGATAATACAGAAGCAAGTGGAGTATAAATGAAATTGACTAGTTCAGCTGCTCAGCTTCACATCTCACCCAAAAGATTAACTGTTTCTGCCAAATAAAAGTGGCCTCATTTTCAGAGGTACAGGTTGTCTTGTTGACAATAAAAGCTGTGAGTACTCAACAACTTTGAAAACAAAGCTCCTTATTTAAGTTTCTAGACAGTAACATAATGGCCAAAATAAGTCCGACCAATGGCCTGTCAGCAATCCATCCCCTGTTGCTCACTCACAGCTTCTGGAAATTAGAGAAAGAACACCCAGAGCATCAGGCCTGGTCAAAGAGTTTGCAGGGCCCAGGGCAGTTGGCTGTGCCACATGGCTAGGTGATTCCCTCAACCATGCTGACTAATCTTTTTTGAACTACATTATAGTTTTATTCTTATTCACTTCCACACCATTGACAGTTTTCTAGAACATAAAAATGGCCAACTCAAACCAAAGGTCATTCTAAGCCCAGTAACTTGTCTTCTGACACTGACCAGTGCCAGGTGCCCCTGAGAGAATGAACAGAACAGGTAATCAATTGATCTCTCCCCTGTTGACCATTTAAAGCTTCTGACAAACTACCCATTCTGGCTATAGGAGTGGCCTGAGGCCGGCTGTGGCAGCTGGCGTCCTAGGCAGAAGGCGCTATCGGCGCCCATGCCTGAACGGCCGTCAATGACCATGACGTAATCACAGGGCGTGGTGTCATCATTGGGTGCCTGGACCCGCGGTGCCCTAGGCAACTGCCTAGTTTGCCTAGGTCCATGGGCCACCCCTGTCTGGTTAATAGCCATTGATGGAACTATCCTCCATGAATTTAAATCTAGGTTTTTTTTTAACCTTGTTAAAGTCTTGGTCTTCACAATATCCTCTGGCATGGAGTTCTACAGGTTACCTATGCATTGTGTGTATGATACCTCTATCATATCCCTGCTTAGCCCAGTCTCTTCACATATGAAAGTCGTTCCATATACTTAATCATTTTTGTTGCCCTTCTCTGTACCTTTTAAAACTCTAAAAGCTTTTTTTCCCCCCCCCCACCAGAACTGCATGCAGCATCAAGTTGTGGATATATTATGGCTATATATAGGAGCACAATGAATCTTTTCCTTTTCTTATTACCTTTTCATACTGTGTCTTATTATCTAACCCTTTTTCAAATGGCTCCTAATGTTTTTTTTCCATTACAGTTGAAAATTGAAAGGATGTTTCCCGATAAATGTCTATCACGTCTCCTAGATCTCCTTCTTGAGTGCTAACAGCTAATTTAGATCCTATCATTTTGTACACATAGTTTGGATGTTTTTCCATGTACATTACTTTGCTTTTATCAAAACTAAATTCCACTTGCCAATTTTTTATCCAGTCACCCAATTTTTGTGAGATCCCTTTGTAACTCTTTAAACTCTGCTTTGGACTCTGCTTTTATGTAATTTTGTACCTTCCACAATTTTTTGCCATCTCAGTGATTACCCCTTTTTCCAGATCAGTTATGAATATGTTGAAGAGCATGGACTCGGTTTAAAACACTCCATTCTGACTATTAACTTCTACCTTTTGTTTTCTTTTAACCAGTTTCTGATCAATGAGAGGACTTTCTCTTATCCCATCACTGCTTACTCTAGGTAAAAGACTTTGGGGGAGAGACCCTGTCTAAGGCTTTCTGAAAGTTCGAGTACAGTAAAACTCCAATGGTCCAGCATCTGATGGTCCGGCACCATCAGGAACCCGGAAGTGCTCTGGGCAGCCGGACCATTGGAGCTGCTCTGCCCCCAGCTTCCCTGATTCAGCCGCTGCTAAAACTGACCAGCAGCTGAATCGGGGAAGCCGGGGG